ACCTGTTTATATATTAATTCTTGCTGCTCTACATCTGTAATGATAATAAAGTTGAACCTAATAAAATAATAATGATCTGCACCGAGACTAAAGCAGACGACAGGCTTTACAGTAGATTATTTTTAGTAACTGCAGATGTTTGTGTGTTTCGCAGGTTGATGTGGAGTGTTTCAGACACGCTTTAACATGTAGATTCATATCTTCTCCTTCAGCTTCAGTTACAGTCACACGAGTTTACAGTAAATCAACAAACACTTTAAATATGATTTTTTTCTTGATTTTTTTAAAAGCTTTAGCTGGTTTAAATATAAGTGAGGTGTCATTTTGGAAATATGTCTGTAAGATGATGCAGCAGAAATCTCACATTTACATATCAGATAACAAAAAGCTGTCAAATAATTCCTGTTATTAAAAACTATTTAAAAAAAATGCAAAACACTGTTAATAATGTTACTATTATTATTACTATTATTATTATTACTATATATATATATATATATATATAGTTGCAATCGGGATTGTTAGCCCCTTTTATGTTATTTTTTAAATGCAAAGAAATGTTCACAGTGTGTCTGATAATGTTTGTTCTTCTGATTAGTTTTATTTGGGCTAGAATAAAAGCAGTTTTTAATAGTTTAAACAGCATTTTAAGCTCAATATTATTCGCTCTTTAAGCTATTTTTGTTTCTGATAGTCTCCAGAACAAACCATCATTATACAATAACTTGCCTAATTACCCTAACCTGCCTAGTTCCCCTAATTACCCTAGTGAAGCCTTTACATGTCACTTTAAGCTGTAAAGAATATACAGCTTAAAGTGTATACAGCTTAATATGTATATATATATATATATATATATATATATATATATATATATATATATATATATATATATATATATATATATATATATATATATATATATATATATATATATATATATATATATATATATATATATATATATATATATATATATATATATATATATATATATATATATATATATATATATATATATATATATATATATA